AACAGGAGTGGTGATAGTGGACATCCTTGTCTTGTTCCTGATTTTAGCATGAAACTTTTCAGTTTTTTACCATTTAGTATGATGTTGGCTGTTGGTTTTTCATAGATAGCCTTAATCAGGTTGAGATAAAGTATTTCTATTCCAATTTTCTGTAGGGTTTTTATCATGAATGGGTGTTGGATTTTGTTGAATGCTTTTTCTGCATTTATTGAAATGATCATATGGTTTTCATCCTTGGCTCTGTTAATATAGTGTATTACATTTATTGATTTACGTATGTTGAATCATCCTTGCATCCCTGGGATAAATCGACTTGGTCAGGGTGTATGTCTGTGTTCTGTTTGCCAGTATCTTGTTGAGGATTTTTGTATCTATGTTCATTAGGGAAACTGGCCTGTAGTTCTCTTTTTTGGTTGGGTCTTTCCCTGGTTTTGGAATCAATGTAATACTTGCTTCCAGGAATTAATTTGGAAGTGTTGTTTTCCTTTCAATTTCACTGAAGAGTTTAAAGAGTAATTGCAATAGTTCTTCTCTAAATGTCTTGTAAAATTCATCAGTGAAGCATCAGGACCTGGGCTTTGCTTTGTTAGTAAATTTTTAATTATGTTTTCAATTTCACTTATTGTAATTGGGGTGTTTAGAATTTTTATATCTTCTTCATCAAACACTAAATTCCACCACCCCAATACCAGGACAAAGATGTTGCAATAGCTTTTTACTTTTATTTTTAATTTGTTGGAAAACTCAGGAACACAGGGTATTTGTGAGAGAAAAGCTTTCAGAAGTAGTTAGGAGCTTATTGTGCTAAGACATGAAGTTATCCAAGAAAGCTTGACTTGTGAGATTCAGTGGTCTCCAGAGCATGGAGATGAGGGTGGAAGTCACAATGTATAACCTAGCTCAGAGCTAGACAAGGCAGTGTTTCCAGAAAGAAATCTGTTCTGGAAAATTCTGTGGGCAGAGTCCAGGTACACTGCCAAGCTAGAATTCAGGTTAGTTCTAGCTCAGAGTGTTGACTCTTGGCAAGGAGTAGAGGGAGTTTGGAGAATCAGTTTTCCCTACATGGAGTCTTCAGGGCCCTTTGGAAACTAAGGATAGCTTTATGTCAAGAGGGGAAAAGGGAAACTAGCTGAACAAGAGGGCACAGAGAAGGTAGGTGTCTTAGTTACTTCCTCTTTACTGAGACACAATACCCAACGCCCACAAGTTTGAGGAGCAAAGATTTATTTTGACTCACACTTTGTAGAGGTTTCAGTCTACAGTCAGCAGGCTCCAAGGCAGGGCAGCACCAGACAGGAGAAACAGCTCATGGCAGGGCAGCAGGAACTTGAGAGTGATCAAGGGGGGAGGAGGGAGATAGACCCTTCCATGCCACACCCCAGTGACCCACCTTCTCCAACCAGGCTCCATCTCTCAACATCACATTTAGCTATACAAAGTCCCCAAAATTCACTGGGAGTATGCTCCTAGAGCACCTGTGAATTATGAAAAACCGCAAATTTCAGGTATGGAATGCCTATTTTTAGACTTTGAACCCTAACTATGCTATGCCTCCTGCAGTTATGTAATTTAATTGAATAAAATGCTGGATTATTAATAAAGCCTTAGAAGGTACGGGGTATTTTGGCAGTGTCTTAGGGATCTTAGGGCTTAAAGAAGAACAAAACTGAGAACACTCGAGGTAGCTGTAAGTGGTACAGCAACCTGTTATGATGCGAGAAGGCAGGTGCATCTGCATTACAGAGCAGCAGCCAATCAGCAGCCAAGGAGAACTGAATAATGCGCTCAGATTGGCTACTTGCAAACCTTGACAAAGAAATAATTGTGGAGAATATTTGCAGTTTCTACAATATTGTGGGATTTTCTCCGTTAGTTAGGTTCTAAGGAAAAAACCCAAATGACTGAGGCTGGGAACTCTGAACTGTGACTTCGAGGGGTATATTGTAAACTATTGTAAACTCATCAGTGGACTAATCCAAAAGAGTTGCTGCAATGGTTTAAAGCTGAGGTCAAGATTTGAGGATTTGACCCACTTCATCTAAAAGATTTTAAGGTTATATACTCAGTACTTTTTTTACCTCCCAGTACCAGGGCCCTTTGCACTGAGCTACATCCCTACTCCGTTTTTATTATTTTGAGACAAGATCTGACTAAGTCCCTAAGATGGCAGGCTGGGATTGAATTTGGCAGTCCTCCTGCCTCTACTTCCCAGAGTGCTAGGATTACAGGTATGTACCACCATATCCCACTAAGCCCAGTACATTTTATATACAATTATTATTAATGCTAATACAGAAGACCTCCATATCTGTATTTCTCTTTTTTGTTTGAGGTTAAAGCTGACACCAGTTAGAATACCCAATTCCCTTGGGCTGCTGTTTGCAGCTTCCCACCGTTTCCTAGCGAGGCGAGGCTTGTGCCAAGTCACTGCACATCTATAAAACTGCTGCTAGCATTTTCCCGAGAGAGGAAATAGTTCATTGGAGCTTCAGGGCAGAAACTGTTGCCCATAGGCAAAATGTTTTTATAATTGCCACTAGGAAAATGAAAAGGCCCCAGTGGAGATTCTTCTGCCCCAGAGAACCCCTCCCTGGTTATAAGCTAATATGCTGTGTGTACCTGGACCAGATGGGTGGAATTAAACCTAAGGTGTTCTTAGATTGTTTTCAAATGTCTGGAGACTCCAGAAATGTGAGAAGTCTTCCTTCTCTTCAGAGGACCGTCCTCTCTAGAAACAGAACTCAAACACCTGTGTTTTTAGGGTGCGGCCTGTCCCCTTTTCCCCACCACTGGGTGTGTACAAGAAGGGTCTGAAATTGAGACCTCAGGTTTGGGTTTTAATAAAGCTAGCTCAGCCGGGTGTGGTGGCATAGTCGGAGACCGAGGCAGGAGGATTACCACAAGTTTTAGGCAAGCCTGTACTACAAACAAATAAAAAATCTGGCTGGAAGGAGATAGGAAAGGGAATTAGTTGTTGAAGAACTTCCTTGTTTGCTACAGATGTGTCTGCTCTAAGGAACTGGCTGTTGCAACCTCCCAGTTAGTTAGAGCTTTGATACTCTGGCCTGCTCACAGTACAGTGGAAACAGGCACACAAAAATCTCCCAGCAGATTGCCTAAGGGTGACAGGGAGAAAAATGTAGGGAAGAAAAGCGTGTTATGAAAGAATACAAAACATATATCACTGAAATGAACTTTGACGTATAAGAAAGAAATATAAGCAGAGTCTGTAATGTTCCCTGAACGCAGGACAAAAGTGGCCTCTCATGCTTTACAGGTGCTGAGTTATCTTGAAACTGAATCGGTTGGTGTGGCCAGAAAGCTGAGATAACCTCTCTTCCTGAAGCCTTGGCACAGAACGAGGGCAGATCTGTACCTAGAACACTGTGTGTTGGCTGAGCCTGAAGAAAAGTCTAAGGACAGGCTGGGAATGTAGTTCAGGGCTTAGGCATGAACTTAGGAGGCATGGCTTTTATCCTGGGCACTATCTCCAGCACACAGAGGCCCCCAAAGAACAGTCAAATGAGGTTGGAGCAGTCAATAAACACGTGAAATGATTAAGGAGAGCAGGGCCTCCACGTCCCTTCTGTGAGGAGCCAGTGAAAATAGAGAATTCTGCAGTGTAAAAAGCAGGACGAGTTAGGGCTGCAGAGTACCCCTGAAGTTCAACTTCTGAAGCCCTAACCCTTACTTTCTCAGAATATGGCTGTGTCTGGAGACAGGGGGCTTGATTAAAATGTAGCCATTAGTATGGGCCCTAATCTGATCTGACTACCATCCTATTAACAAGAGATTTGGAGCAGGGCACAGTGGCACACACCTGTAATTCCAGCAACAAGAGAGGCTGAGGCAGAATGGTCATAAGTTCAAATCCCACCTAGGCATTTTAAGACTGTCTTAAATAAATAAAATTTTAATCTACAAAGGGCTGGGGATGAATCTCAGTGGTAGAGCACCCCCAAGAAGAAGAGATTTGGACAGGTGCATGCACAGAGAAATGTCCTCACTCCGTGAGGAGGTGGCCAGCTGCTGTCCAAGAGACAGGCCTCACAAGAAACCAAACCTGCCTGCACTTTAATCTCTGCTGTGAGAAAAAACTGTGGGGTCACCCAGCCTGGGATAGTTTGTTATGGTAGCCCCAGCAGATAATACAGATGATGACAGATATGAAATGACTTAAGTGATAAAGGGCCTAGAAAAGGATATGGTCATCTCAGGGTACTGCGAGCAAAGATGTCTTTAAGGTGTCTTAAAGCAAAGTCTATATACATACTACCTAGATCAAAATCACCTATGATACTATTTATTTTGCAGTACTGGGGATTGAATCCAGGGCTTTCACATTGAGCTACATCCTCAGCCCTTTTAAAATTTTATTGTTTATTTTTATTTATTTGTTTTTGTTACCGGGAATCAAACTCAGTACCTTGCACTTGTCAGGCAGGTGCAGCACCACTGAGCTAAATCTCTGGCTCTTTTATTGTTTATTTTGAGACAGGGTCTCCCTAAATTGCCAGGTTGCCCAGGCTGGCCTCAAACTTGCAATCCTCCTGTGTCAGCCTCCAATAGTGCTAGGATTACAAGTGTGTGCTTACCTATGATACTTCTTAAAGTCCAAGTTCTTAAGCTCACAGGATTCAGTGTTAAAATGTTTTGAAAGAAGGCCCAAGAATCTGGGGGTGGCTTCGGTAGACAAAGCGATGAGGGATGCTTTTGCCTTGCAAGGCTTGAGACTCAGGGCTTGAGCTCCTGTCTGACGTCTGGGCGTGGCTGGCAGGTACTAATTCCACCTCATCAAGGGCTGGTGTGCCTGGTGCTGGGCCAGATGTCCTACCATGCGGGAACCAAGTGTACATCTGCCGGGAAGGTTTTCTCTCTCCAGGTGTCATCGGTGTTCGCTCAGCATGTGGGAAAGCTGAAGGAGAATGAGATGGAACAAATGGAGTCCTCAGGGTGGAACCCAGGGCTTCCCACACAGGAGGCCCACAGCCTGCCTACTGAGTCACACCACCATCCCAGCCTGAGCCTTCTAATGCCCTGCACGGTTAAAATACAACAGTGAAATAGACAACGCATAAATGAAATACGCTAATAATAACTGGGAAAGACTAACAAATACTTCCGACAGGCTCTGCACTTCCATTTATATCATCACCAAGGGGAGTGGAGCGAATTGAGAAACAGGGAGAGGGAAAGAGAGACAGGCAGACCTACCAGTGATGCAGTTTCAAAGTAGGCAGAAGAGATGGCACCCATTCAAATACGGCAGTTCCCAAAGGACAGGTAAAAGCTGTCCTCAGATTTACAAACTTTATTAAGGAACATAAGATTTTATAAATTAGGGTTTTAAAACTAAAATTTAGACAGGTCCTGTGAAAATGCTGAGGACATTAGACTCTCTCTGTGTTTCAACCAGAACGCGGTCACCATGCCTCCGTGGTGGCCAGGGCTGGCCAGGGGCTCCTGCAGCCGGTTTTTTGAGCACTTCTTCAATGCCAGGGACTTGGCTAAGTGCTTTTCCCTCCTTGACCAAATTTCAGCCTGTCTGTGTGGATCACTGGATTCCCACTAGATTCCTTTGAGCGGGTGAGGGGTGGAATTGCCATTACGGATGCAGTGCTTTCCGAAAACAAGACTTCCAGCCTTAAAGGAACAGATTGAAAACTCTAGACCTTAGCACCCCGGGAGGATCAGAAGGAAAGCCTCGGGAGCGAGTGCGGGTCGGGGGCGCGGTGAAAGGGCAGCTTCAAGGGGAGCTTCCGGGCCGGGCAGCAGGGAGTCTGACTGTGACAGGCGGCCAGGCGGGCCGCCGAGGGGCTCTCGCGGCGTGAGGGCGGCGTGGCCTCCGCTCGCTCCCCGGCCTCCGGCTCTCGAGGTCCCGGCCTAGCGGCCCGCGGACGAGCAAACGAGCGGACGAGCGGGCCAGCGTGCGGCGGCAGCGGCGCCTTGCTCATTAGGGGGCGCTCTGGGGCGGTCTCCGCCTCGCCGGGCCCGGCTGCTTCCTCCGCCGCCCCGCCTGCCAGCGAGCGCCACCAGCCCCGGGGACCGCGTCTCCCAGCGCCTCCGCCCGGCCCCGCCGCGCTGTTTCCGCCGGCCCCGCTGCCGGCCATGCATTCTTCCGGCGCCGCCGGCCCCTGCGGCCCCCGGCGGGTGGCCCCCAGCCCGAGGTAACCCCGGTCGGCCCGGCTCGGCCCGGCTCGACCAGGCGGACAGGCCCGGGCGCGGCGCGGCGCGGCCTGGGGGCGGGGAGGCTGTCGGCCGCGCGTGGCGGAGGGACGAGGGCGCGGTAGGCCCCGGGGAGGAGG